TGTCGCCATCCTGTTCCTTCCTCTGGTCTCCTCTTCCTTGGATCAGCAGCAGCAGCAGCGTGTAGCCCTCTAGCTGCTGGTGCACCAAGAGCTGTGGCGAGCGTGCGCGCTCTCACAGCAGCGGTCGCAGCAGCCAAGGCCGTTCGACGCTCAGCAAGCAGGCGCATCATCATCACTGTGCGATTGCTTGTTTGGTTTGCAGAATGCAATCAACAGCAAGACGATTGTGTTGTCCTTCTTCTTCGATTTTTGTTACATGTTGTTGTTGGTTGCAGCTGTGTCCATGTGTGTGTGTGTGTGTGTGTGTGTGTGTGTGTGTGTGTGTGTGTGTGTTCATCATCCAGCCCCATGCGTTGCTTTGCGTGCACGCGCAGTTGCGAGTGGCGCGAGTGGTGCGTGTTTACTTTGAGAGGAAATGTGCCATGGGGTCTTCGGTGCGCTGGCGCCCGCGGCGATAAGCCTCCATCTCCTCCTCCGTCACCTCCTTGTAGTCCTCGCGTGCAGAGTTGAACGGCCGGTCCCTGGCACAGAAGAATAGATGCGGCGACGACAACGACACAGTGTAGGGTGAGCAAACCACATCCATATATGTGTGTGTGTGTGTGTGTGTGTGTGTGTGTGAACATCTTCACGTCACATCATGCATGTGAGCTGCTGTCAGGTGGCGAGTGGCACCACCACGCAACACAACAAGCAAAGGGGCGCCTGCCTCAACGCACCTCTCGTCCATCTGCAGGTAGCGGGTGTTTGCCTCGTCTGCGCGCTTCTGCTTATCAATCAGCTCCTGGATGCGCTTCTCCTTTTTCCGCGCAGCAGCCATCTCATCGTCAAGGTCGTCATCATCTGCAGATGAACGGGGCGGTGGAAGCACAGTCAATGCACGTGGCGTGAGACAAACAATGCATTGCACATGTACACACAAACACACACACGCACGCACACACATATACACAGTGCACAAGCTCGAAATGAAGATGCACACACACACACACACACACACACACACACACACACACACACACACACATACACAACCGCGCGCGCAGGCGTACCGTCGCTGTCCTTGCTGCGCTTCTTCTTGTGCTTCTTTTTCTTCTTCTTCTTCTTGTCCTTCGACGAAGATGACGACGACCCGTCGGCCTCGTCGCCGCCATCACGCCGCTGCCGCTCCTGGTGCAGGTCCACCAGCGACTTGCTCTCCGTCTCATCGCTCGCAGTGGTGGTGGTGGTGGCGGTGGTGGTGTCGCCGCTGCCGCTGCCTCCGACCTTCTCACCCGCGTCCATCTTGGCAGCGAGCAGATCCGTGGGTTTTGCCTGAGCGAGCACAAACGCGCGTACACACACACACACATCGCATGTGAGGGTGTTTGTAGTGCAAGGAGCCAACACCCATAGCGCAAACAGCAGGATCGGCACAGATTGCCAGCTGTTAAACAGCTCACCAACACACGCACAAACACACGCACACATGCACACACAAATAACGCACACACATGCACACACATATGCACGCACACACCCACTCACTCAACGCTCCCCTCCACACCCATGAATGAGCGATTCGAGCCACCTTGCGAGCACGGCGCCCAGCCTCGCCAGTGCAGTAGGAATTCCTCTCCGTGGAGTGGCAGCAAGCGTAGCCCCACTTGCCTGCAGGCACGCATGTAACACCAGGCAGAAAGCACAACGCATCAGTCCAACGACGTTGGTGGTATAAAGGGCACCAAAAACATGCAAACGACAGCGTGCGAAACGCAAGCGTACAAAAACCAAACAGGCAAGTGAAGAGGCCAATGGATGCAACAACAGGTGTGTATGTATGCGTGAAAAGCGCGTGTATGCTCACCATCAACCCAGTAGGAGCCCCAGATGGACTTGTGGTTGCCAGGATACACGTCTTCCTCGTAACGAGAGAGAACCTTTGGAGAAACAACACGTGAGATGGAGCACAGATCACCGTGTTGAGACACGCCATGAAAAGAAGCACAACACCCCCCCCTCTCTCTCTCTCTCTCTCACACACACACACACACACACACACACACACACACGTACACATCGACCACAATTAGCACAATGTTCACGCACCCATCTCAACCACAACAACTCCACAACCATATCCACCCACCCACGCCAGCACCGCACCTTTGGCTTTTCCTTGCCCTTGATGACGCGTCCTGTCTGCGAGTATTCAACGTAGTGCTCTGTCTGCGCCATCAACAGCTCTTTTGGCGGCGCCTTCAGGTGTGTCTCTCCACCATACTGCACACACACACACACACAGAAAGAGAGAGAGGTCACAAATAGCAACAGGTGAGGCGTTGTTTGTGTGGTGTGCATGTGTTTGTTGTTTGCAAGAAATAGGCCCCATGCGTCGATGTGTGTGTGTGTGTGCGTGTGTGTGTGTGTGTGTGTGTGTGTGTGCGTGTGTGTGAGTGTGTGTGTGTGTGTGAGCGCTTTCGTGCGTACCTTTTCGAGGATGCTCTTGCGCTGGTCCTCCTGGAAGTTGGCTTTCTTCACCTGTACATCACCAAAATGCATTCGTAGTGAGGGCACGCCACTAACACTGCAACCATCGCAGTCATCTACCAGTCAAAGCACACGTCTGCACACACACACACACACACACACACACACACACACACACACACACACACACAAACAAACAAACCACCACCACCACCATCATCAACGCGAGCGCCGCACCTTGAACTGCTTGTGCATGAGCTCGGCCTTTGTTGGGTCGGCCTGCAGGTGCAGCTCAGCGCCCTTGTTGGCCGCGTCCCAGGCAAACACCTGCTTTTCAGCAACCTTCGGCACATCGCCAGAGTAGCGCACAAAGTTGTCGCCAGCATATGGCAGGCTGCAGCGCGTGGTGGTGGTGATGGTGGTGATGGTGAGGGCTAAACGTGCGCGGGAAGTTGAAGCGAGGCGGGAGCAAGGTGAACGCAAAATGAAACCCAGAGAACAGGCGCTGCATACGGCCACGGCGCGGGTGAGCCTGCACGCACGGATCAAACACCCTCTTCAAACACACATGCTTCAGCCACACGGGCACGAGCACGTACTCCTTCTCTGGGACGCCAAGGTGGGCGAGCGGATTGGCGCGCATACTGCGGGTTTTTGGATCGTAATGGGCGGAGTTTGGGTCCAGGTTGAGCAGGTACTTTGCAGTGTCTTCGCGGATACGCAGGTTACGCACGGTGATGCGGCGCTTCGTGTCAACCTTCGACCCGGCCATTTCTGCTGAGTCAGCATACTTCAGCTCGTCCTTCTCGTCGTCTTCATCGTCGTCGTCATCGTCATCATCGTCGCTGCTGCTGCTGCTGTCGCCCCCGCCCTCGCCCGCGTTGGCTTCGCGTGCTTTCTTCTTCTCCTCCGCCTCGTTGCGCAGTTTCTCCGCCTGCAATCGGCGCTTCTCACGCTCAACCTGACACGGCCAGACAACAACATTGGACAAAACAAGTGAGACGTCGGGAGCACGGTAGCGTGTTTGTTTGTTTGTTTGTTTGTTTGTTCGTTTGTTTGTTTGCAGGCTGCAGTGTTTGTCATCATGCAAGGTACCAACGCCCATCCCATCATCATCATCAGCATCATCACGCACCTTTTCAAACTCGTCAATCACTTTCTGGTGGTGGCGCACGTCATATGACGCCCAGCGATCGCGCTTGCCATCAAAGGTCACCGCAGAGTCCGACTGTTGCGCGTGGCAGCAATTGCATGTGTTGTTGCCCAAGCGGGGACATGGTGAGCGAGAGCGGACAAGACGGCGAGGGCAACACACACGCGAAGCCATCAAGACAAGCACACAATTACACACGCACGTGCAAGCACAAACGTGAAAACACACACTCGCACACACGCTCACACATACTCACACACACGCTCACTCACTCTCACTTTCTCACATACTCACTCACACACACACACACATACACACACACACACACACTCTCTCTCTCTCACAGTGCGCACATACCGGGATGTATTCATCTGGGGCAATGTCTTGGCCGGTGAAGCGAGCACCTACACGACGAGGTCGATACACGCATTCCTTCTTGGTGTGCGACAGGGAACCACAGTTCTGGCACGCGCCTTTCCGATACCGAGTGGCCGTTTTCCCCTGCATTGCGGAATCGAGGCCGTGGATGAGACCAATCATACTCGTTGCGTGCATCAACAGCAACTGATCAAGTGGCGGAATCCTCATCCAACAGACACATGTACTTATCCAATCACAAAGGCCAACCAACACTCAACCACAAAGGCAAACCAACACTCAATCGCACCCATGCAAGCGGAAGCACACATTCAGCACATTGACAACAGCATCCACACCACGAACAAAAAAATGAACGGCATTGACTCACGCGGATGATGCCCTTGCGCAACGTCTTGTGGATGTCGTCCACCTTCTGTTTCTTGTCATCTTGAACACGCTGATGCCTCAACGTGGGTCTGGACGCGAAAGCCAGCAATCAGGACGAAAACAAGTGAAGACACACACACACACACACGCACACACACACACACACACACACACACACACACAGAGCAGCAGCAGCGGGCAGATCGTTTGTGAGCGGGCTGCTGTGGCGTGTGAATCTTGGCACGACAGACAAGATCACCCACAGCCAAAAACATAGACCAACGAACAATACGAAGCAACGCGCAGGGCTAACCATAGTCTGTGCTTAACTTACTTGTCTGTCTTGTAGTACCATGGGGCATCCTTGATGTACTGCGGGATGTGCGGGTTGATGTCGCGACCTTCCTCATCAACCTCTGCAGGGATGGTACCGCGCTTTCGTGCCTCATCGAGCTCCTTCTCCTTGCGGATCTCTTCACGCGTCTTGATCTTTCGCGTCGCGTTCGACATGGTGCCAAACAGCGCTTACTCCAGCCCGGTGATGCGGGAAATGAACAGACAGATGAATGGATGCGGTTGTGCACGACACAGGGGAAGGGCAGTCAGGAAGCACACACACACACGAGCACACACAGACACACGAGCACCACAGCAGATGAACGAGACGTTCGCGTTGTTGCGTTGGTGGTGATGTGCTTTGTGGAAAACTGGACGCAATCTTTCAATAATTTTCAGCAACCAAACAAACTGAAAGAAGCTGAAGATGATGGATAACGACGATGGCGAGGGAGGAGGAAGCAGCAGGAGGGAGGACACTGCCAGCACCGATACCGTGCACGGCGATGGTGCTGTGCATGACGAGGGAGCTGCGACGCGGAAGAGCAGCGCTGGCAGCGTTGGTAGCCTTGCTGCCGGAGACGACGGCAACATGGGCCATGGCCGAAACTACTCCATGCTGCTCTCAGAGGTCATCAACTCCGAAGGCAACATTGCCCCAACTCTGCGGTGCGTATGTGAATGTGTGTTGGGCAGCTTGTGTTTGCGTGTGCGTGTGCGTGTGCGTGTGCGTGTGCGTGCGTGTAGGTGTGAATGTTAGAGAGTGTTGGTGTGTGTGTGTGTGTACGTACTGTGCCTCTCCTTCTCCCTCCCTCTCTTCCCTCCTTCCTTTTTTCAACAACGACCACGAAGGAGGCGTGTGCTGAGCTTGAACCCGCACTGACCCCCCGCGCGCGCTCGCGCGCGCTCTCTCTCTGTCTCTCTCTGTCTCTCTGATGCAGAGCTGTGTACGATTCCTCGCAATCCGACATCCCAACGTTCGTGAAAGCACTGGAGACACAGACCACCAAGCTGGACGGCGATATTGAACGGTTGTGCAGCACCCACTACCAAGGGTTTATCGACTCCATTGATCGCCTGCTCAAGCTCAAGGACCACGCCCTCAAACTACAGGTGTGTATGTCTGCACTATTGGGGTCGCCTGTCTTGTTGACTCACCCGTATTTAATTGTTCCACGTCCTCACTCTTGTTCATGCACGTGTGGTGAACTTTTGCAGACGAGGATCGATCGCGTTAAGGGCTTGATCTCAGATGCAGGTCAGCAGCACCGCCAGCCGTACATGTGCACGCCGTGCTTCATTTTTCCCTTCTCTGACCTGTGTTCCCACTCGACCTTGTTGGCAAGCGATCATGCGTGTCTCACCCACCTTGTGCTCGTTGCCGTTCACCATCCAGGCACTGGGCTGCAGGCGATGACGGAATCGCTCGCGCGCGAGAGAAGACGACAGTGCAACATTCTTCGCACCATCGAGACGCTCAACGTCTGCGTGCCAGGTACACTCGCCGTCGTTGTTGCGCGACCCTAGCCTGAATCAACGACAATGTGCCGACTAAACCACACCCTGACTGTAACCACTTGCTACTGGCCCATCAGCAACCCGTGCAGCTCACATCGCACACAACTCACATGTCACGCATGTAAACGCTCACACATGTGACGCACATGTGACACACACGACACACAAACACACAAACACACAAACACACACACACACACACACACACACACACACACTAGCGCTGCGCTTGTTCTGCAAGGTGCAGGTGCAGCTGCAGGCTGGCCGGTTCTACTCTGTTATCAAGACGTTGGAGGAGTTGGAGGCACAGCATCTTGCACACGTCACACAGTACGTGCAGAGATGTACAAGGAATTGGAGGGGGATGAGGGCATGAGGGAAGATCGATACAAATGGTTTTGTGGCGAGGCCAATGTGCCGTTTTCCCTTCCATCATCTCCACTCACACACACACACATACCACATACTCTGTCTGTCTGTCTGTCTGTGTCTCTCTGTCTGTGTCTCTCCCTGCCTCTCTCCAACGCGTGCGTGTGTGTTCAGGTTCCGGTTTGGGCAGGCGATCCAAGCGCGCATCCCGCACATACGCGCACAGGTGCGGCAGGAGGCGTTTGGCGACATGCGGCGGTTTCTCGAGGAGGCGAGGATGAAGGCCAAGGCTGTTGGCGAGACGGCGATGGCGCGTGCACAGAAGGTGCATGCGATTGACACAGAGGGGATGGATCCAGACGCAGCTGTCGGTGCGCAGCCGAGCGCAAGCAGCGCTTCCCTCGCAGGTGAGAAAGAGTGTGTGTGTGCGTGTGTGCGTGTGTGCGCGTGTGTGCGTGTTCACGTGCAGTTTGCATGTTGTTGCTGCCTGCGCCCTACGAGTGCGCGAAGAGTTCAGCATCTCATCGGCTGCATCCATCTCATCTCTCCTCCAATCCGATCAACAGCGCTTGAGGACATGACGGCGCACGCGGCTGCACTCGATGTCGACTTTGGCCCAATCTACAGCTGCTGGCACATCTGCCAAGTCCTGGTGCGCACGCAAACATTAGAGACACGCTAGGAAGGAAGAGAGAGAGTGTGTGTGTGTGCGTGTGTGTATTGTGTGTGTGTATGCGTGTGTGGATTTTGCGTGTGTATGAAGGCTAGCCTGACTTTCTTGCTCAACACACACACACGCACGCACACACGCACACACACACATGTACTGTCAGAACTCGACGAGTGCATGCATTTTGTATTACAAGACGGAGCGGAAGAAGCAAGGGGAGCTGGTCATCAACCCACCAAGCCCACTGGTAACACGCACAGAAAATGCACCATGGATGCGATGGTGCATGTAATTGAATTCTGCAGTGCGTGACTGTACGTGATTGTCATCCTTCGTTCATAACAGCCACCTCCTCAGACGGGCGTCTGTGTCCATCCAGCCACACCCTCCCACGTCAACTCAACCTACACCCCACCCCTCATGTCACATGTGCCTGCATGCATTGCGTCGCCAGACATCGGTGCACGATTTTCAGGACTACTTTGCGCGGCTGGCGGGTTTCTTCCTTGTCGAGGAGACCGTACTCTCCACCACAGAGGGTGAGAGAGTGCGGGTGTACATGTGTATGTGCGATGTGTGCGCGCCTGTCTGTGTGTGTGCGTGTGTGTGTGTGTGTTTGTGTATGCGTGTCTGTCTGTGTCTATGTGTGTGTCTGTGTGTACGTGTGTACGTCGGACATAGCCTGTACAGTTTCTTCCACGTTCGGCCGTCGTCATTGTCTCACGTTCCTCCTCAAACGACAACAGGCCTCATCTCCAAGCAGTATCTTGATGAAATGTGGCATCACGCGCAGAACAAGATTGCCACCGCGATGCAAACTGCCATTGTGCGTCTCGTTTCGGTGCTTCGTGTTGCTGTTGCGTACGAGCGTGCGTACGTCTGTACCTGTACACCACATTCATTCACCATGCGTGCACGGTGTGACTCGAGTGTTGAGGTCATCTCTCATGCTCCCCACCCATGCTTACCACCATCTTTTCGTACTCCACCAACCATCATCCTCAATCCCTCGCCGTCACCATCACCACCACCACCAGTCCAACTGCACCACTGCGTCTATGATTCGATCCGTCAAAACGATCATTGTCACGTTCAACCGTGTCCTGCAGGTAACACGACCGTGTCCTGTTGATCTCAGTTCTTGCTTTACTTGTGTTGTTGTGGAGGTTGTTTGATTCGTGTGTTGTTGTGGGCGTTGTTTTGTTTGGGTTTCGTTGTGTTTGCTCTTCCAAGAGACAGACGAGCGTCACGTATGCTCCCATGTCTGCCAACCCATCACCATTCTCACCACCACCATCCTCAACCACCACAACCATCACCATCTTCACCGCCATCTTCACCATCAGGATCACGACTACAGCATCGGCCGCCTCGTGGACGTCCTGCTCGACATTCGCGAACGATATCAGGTCCCGCTGCTGCTGCTGCTGCAGTCGTGTCTTGCTGCGCGCCTTGGCGTGAGGGTGTCAGTTGCATGTTGAATGGTGTTGGCTTCGGCCTTGGTCCTTGCCTCTACGCCGTGTCTGTCCGCGTGTCTATGTGCGCTGTTTGCTTCCCCGTCCACCCTCGCCTCACAGCACAACACACACGCACACGCACACATTGCGCCCTGCAGTCTGTGCTTCTCACGAGCTCGGGGGAAGTTCTGCGCGGAATTCTCTTCTCCGACAACTACACTCCGCTCCATGTGGACACAGAGGTCTGTTTCTCTTTGTGTGTGTATGTGTGCGTGCCTTTTCTTTTGTGTGTGTGTGTTCTCTCTTGTGTGTGTGTGTGTGTTCTCTTGCGTGTGCGTCATCACAACCGCTCGTTGACTGCCGCTCTTTTGCATGTGTGTGTGTGAAGGAGGAGTACCGGGCGCTGCGGGCGAAATATCCGTTTAGCGACGTGCCAGCTGATGAGGTGCGCACATGTGCTCCTTACGCGTGGATGTGTGCATGTGTGCATGTGTGTGCATGCCGCTAACATACATGCACGCACGCGTACATACACACGTGCATGCGTCTCTCGCGTTCGACTGTGCACATGCCTCTGCTTCGTCACCATGTCCTCTCACGTCAGCAACACTCGTCGTATATACGGCACGTCAGGCCGAGCTGCCGCACTCGCTCGAGTTTTCGGACGCGGTGCCGAACATATACGTGGAGGTGAAGCAGTTTATCTTTCTCACGTGGCTCTACATCCACAACATCGGCCTCAGGTCAGCGCGTGCATGAACGACATGATCGTGCTGAGTTCGCTTCGTTGTATGGTTCACAAGGTTGCACATCTGCCAACAACCTCACACACACACACACACACACACACACACACACACACACACACACACACACACACACACACACACACACACACAAATGCCCACAAACGCGCGCGCGCACACACACACACACACACGCGCGCGCGCGCAAATGCCCACAAACGCACAATGCCCACAAACGCACAATGCTCACAAACGCGCACACACACGGCTCTGCTCATTGTTGCGTTCATTTTATTCAGCAACACGGAAGTGGATGAAACTGTTCGCCAATCGACAAACCAGCTCCTCTCCAAAGTCCTCAGCGGTAGGTGTGTGCGTGTGCGTGTGCGTGTGTGCGTGTGCGTGTGCGTGTGCGTGCATGCGTGTGTTTCGACCAATGCGCTCCACCCTGACCCCTTCTGGATCTCCACTGCCTCACCACCAACCCCACTCCATCATCCTCACAACTACTAACCCCCACCACCACCACCACCACTCGACAGGAACAATGGCCCGTATTGTCAGGGAGCGAACGCTGACGCTGCCGCAGCTGACACAAATCTCCGTCAACACGCAATACCTCGAGGTGCGGTGCGGCTTCGCCTGAATTGTTGACATTGTGTTGTGCTGAGATGTGGCGGGTTGTTGGCGATCACGCACGCTCACGTGAACGTCTTCCTCACACATGCACATTGTCTTACACACACACACACACACACACACACACACACACACACACACACACACACACACACACACACACACACACGGTCATGCGTGGCAGCGCGCGTGTGAGAAGTTGGAGCGCTACATTTCATCGCTGACGAAAACCGTTGGCGATGACATTCACATCACGCGCCTCTACGCAGCATCAGACTTCAAGGGTCGGTTGCTCAGCGTGTTTTGTGTGTGTGTGTGTGCATGTTGTGTGTTGCTTGGGTGTGTGTGTGCTTGGGTGTGCGTGTGTACTTGGTGTGCGTGGGTTTTCGTGTGCTTTGATAGCCGTCTGGACACTCGCACTTGGAATGCATTCATACATTCCGTCACCACCTCACACCACCACCAGACGCACGCTCCGCTGCTGAGTATCGGATGGTTGAGCTGTTGAGCGAACAGATTGACGAGTGCCTTGATCTCGCAGATTACGACTGGGCGCCAGCAGAGCCAAGGTGCTGCTGCTGTCACGGTCACGCAATCATGCTGTCGTGATGATGATGTCGGTGTGGTGGTGGTGTTGCGTGGCCATGTGACGTGCTGGTGTTGGCATCGCGAATATGGTAGTCTTGGTCGTGCAGTTTTGCGACATCAAATGATGGCGGTGTAGGGATTGAGTGGTGTGTACAAGATGGCTGGGTGCGGACATGCCACGTCCTGCCTTTCAAGGATGATACCATTCACCTTTTGGATGTGTTTCTGGTGTCGCGCGCGCGCGTGTGTGTGTTGTGCTGTTTACAGGACAACTTCGAGCTCGTACATGTACGATCTCCTTGCTTACCTCACCACCATGTTTGCGTCGTTAACCAACCTCCCCGTGAGTGACGCGTGCAATGCGTGTGATGGCACTGCTGCTGCTGCTGCTGCTGCTCGTTTCTGTATCTGGTGCTTCTCGTGTTTCCGTGTGTGTGTGTGTGTGTGTGTGTGTGTGTGTGTGTGAATGTGTGTGTGTGTGTGCGCGCGCGCGCTCACTCGCTCACAATGTGATGTTTACTTGCACACTTGTCGGGTTTGCAGAAAGAGGTGGCGACGCATGCATACTTTATGACGTGCAAGCACCTGTGCTCGAAACTCATGGAACTCGTCCAAAGTCCAGAGGTGTGTGCGTGAGTGCGTGAGTGTGTGAGTGCGTGTGTATATGTTCGTGCTTTTGCGTGAGAGTTGTATGCGAGTGCGTATGTGTGCGCGTGTCACCCATCGACTGCTTCGCCAAGCTGGCAATTGGAGCGCACTCGGATATGGCTATGTGAGCCCACGCGCAACTACACACGCACACAACCATCTGTACCATGCACACACGCACAGATTAAGAAGGTGAATCTCAACGGCATCAAATCGTTTGAGCTCGACGTGCGGGTACGTTGCTGCAGCGTTCACCGCCATCACGTGATTGCAACTCACATGATGGGAACACTGAATCACCGTGCTCGTCTCGGGCGATCTTCCTTTTCCTCACACACACACACACGCACGCACACACACACCATACACCAGTTGTGCGAGGATTATGCGGACTCGTGTCCCGTGATTGACGCTGGCGATCAGCTCTTGCAAGGGCTCTTCGTCTCTCTTCGCGAGGTGCTGTTGTCAATGGAAGGACGGTGTGGTGAACGTGGCGATGTGTGTTGTTTGTGTGTGGTCCTAATGCGGGAGCACGAGTGTTGCTTGTCGGATAGTGTGCGTGGTGTATACTTTTTTGCTCTCTACCCTACCTTTCGCGGAGATGTGAGTTTCTGCTCACGTTGGTTGCCGCTTGCCTCTGTTTAGCTTGTGGATGTGTTCTTGAAGGAGGACTGGGCCGTGTATCTTGATCCTGAGCAGCGCACACAGACATACGCGCACCTCAAGCCTCACATTGTCCTCATGTGGCTCGAAAAGTGTGTACCATCGTGTGTGTGTGTGTGTGTGTGTGTGTGTGTGTGTGTGTGTGTGTGTGTGTGTGTGTGTGTGTGTGTGTGTGTGTGTCTGCGTGTGCGTGTGTGTGCGTGTGTGTGCGTGTGTGTGTGGGCCTGTCTTGCGTGCGAGCGAGCGAACTCCACACACTATTTCGCCAACCCCCCCCCCCTGCCAATCGCCGCGTACGCTCACCTCACGCGCCCCCCTTGCGCATCTCGCTTTTCAGGTTTGACGACACGAGCCGGCAGGGCCTGTTTCGGTCTGGGGAAGACAGACGAAAGGCGAGACTGGTGGACAACGCACTGAAGAAACTGCGCGCGGAGATTGGGCAGCAGTCACACGCTCAACAAAGCTCGTCATAACCACACTGACACCTTGTGCCCTTTCGTTCCTCTCTTGTTGATCTATGTACTTTCCATCCAATCGTCTTGTGCATAATGCATGGCATGTTGTGATAGCGTTTGAGTGCGCAGTTGCTCGCTTCTTTCTCATTGTGCAGAGTTGCCATTGGGGTCATTTAATTACAAAGCGGTACATGGTGATGAAGGGTGCCAACACCCTACAGTCGAGGTGGAAGGAGGGTTATATGGGAAGAGGGCCACACGCACGGCAGGGGAAGCGATTGACAAGGTGCAGCGGGCAGTCGTCGGCCACACATGTTTGGGGAGGTGGGGGAATGGTGCGCAGGTTAGAGGAAGACGCAAGCGCTGTCAATCCTTGGACAAACAAGGGTGTGCATCAGGAAGAGGGGAGGTTGAACAGCAGCTTGGGGATGGGAAGTGGGCAGCGACCAGTGAACGTCATCACAGCACAGGCAAAAAAGGAAGCCAGTGTAGCTAACCGACACACCCACCCAGACACACACACCCACACACACACACAACTACATGATGCTGCATGAGGGAGGTGCTGTGCCCGTGTGTGCTTTGCACTTGCACCGCTCATCCATGGGAACGCCGCGGAGGGCAGCGTCAATGTGGCGACCACAACCTGCCCAGGTGGGCTTGTGACATTTGCTGCACGTCGTCCTGTGGCACATGCTGGAGGGTTGGGATGCGAGGCGAGGCGGGGCGAGGCGTGGGTAGGGGGTTAGGGAACGGGCCTGGGAGAAGGGGACTGTCGTCGCTTGCTTGTGGCTTTGCTTGTGGCTTTGCTTGTGGCTTGTTGTTGCGATGGTGGGGTGAATGCGTTGTGCACAAGGCTTTTCTTTTCATCATCAGCATCATCATGGCTGTTGTTGCCGTTTTCCCAGAACGCAACAACTCGCTCCATGCTTTGCTTTGCTTCTCCTGCCTTCTCGTTCACGCTGTGTGTTTTTGGGTTTGCTTTCGTTTATGGCAGTGGCACACAGTGCAGATAAGCCGGGCAGGGTGGTGCGACAGCCAAAGAGAGCCGTGGCATACAAAGGAATGGAAGCAAGGGGAATAATGTAACAACGACAAGGTAGAACGAGCTTGGAATACGATCAAAGGGCGGCGAGAAGCTAGCAGGAGGCCTTCTTGGTCCATGGTTCTTGATTCTTCGTTGCTTGGCTGTGGCTAGCTAGCTGTATGTGTCCATGCCTCTGTCAGGAGGCCGGCTCACAACGTCCCGATGGCCATCAATACCTCGCTGGATAAACGCAAGCAAGAGAAGAAGAACATGGGAGAGAACATCGTGAGCGACACGGCGTTGTGGGTGTGAAGCAGAAGTGGCTGCAGCACAGCAGAAACGAAGTCGTCACGTCACACGCAACGGCGAACAAGGTACACCACGCCTCACTACGCCTCAAGATGCACACACCAACCACCCGACACACCAACCACCCAACACAACAGCTCCCTCACTCCAGAGCACACACATACCGCTGCTGGTGTATGGTTTGCACTTGCAGCGTTCCTCGACGGGAACACCACGCAATGCGCTGTCGATGTGGCTGCCGCAGCCGCCCCACGTGGGCTTGCTGCACTTGTTGCATGTCATCCGGAAGCACATCTTGCCAGGAGAGTGACTGTTTGTGTGTGTGTGGAGGTGCAGGAGTTCCGCCTTGGGGGGGGGGGTTGTTGTTGGAGTGAGAGCCTGCTTGTGCGGCAAGAAGAATGAAGCTTTGGAAAATGAACTCGGCCCCATCTCGGTGTGCACAAATTGGCTGGTTGCTTTGTTTCGTTCGGGGCTGAATGCGCCTCGAACGTGCTGGCTGCGGCCCAGAACGCACCAGTGCCTTCCAGCGGTTTGGTGAGACCCAAGAGTCCGCTGCGGTGCAGCTTGCTCTCCTCCACGCCACAGCACTTACGGCACAGCAGCTGAGCTCGCTTGCAAGCCTAAGTGCCAGTGCAATATAACAGCGCGTTTATGAAACACAACAACAATGGCAGCAACACGCACACACAAAGACCCTTTGGTTTTCTGAAAGAGCAACAAGACAACTGAGGCAATGTTCACCACGAAGGAACAAAGCAAGACATGGTACGACACAACAAGGAGCTGCCACGCTGCCACTTCAAAGATGATGATGCCGCCATACATGTGTGCACGCATGGGTAGGCAAGCAAACAAACAAACAAACAATGCCACAAGAAGAAACGCCAGCAAGTGGCAACGCTACGAGAACAAACACCAGCAAGAGGCAACGCCAAAGACACAAAGACACAACCACCCGGCCAACAGTCCAACAACAACAGCAAGGACAACACGCCTTCAGTCAGAAAGCTGCAGGTCTTGGCGGATGAGCAGGCCATGGAGCGAGCTGCTCTTGTAGCTGTTGCTCTCCAAGTAGCCCTCGAAATCCCGGCGCAGAGAACTCAGGTCGCATGAACCTGTGGTGTTGTTCAGCAGCGTCGTGAACATGTTGTGCCACAACTCGCGTTGCCAATACGGCCTGTAAGCAATCCAAACACGACACACACAGCAAATGAGCAGAATGAGCAGAATGAGCAGAATGGTCTGTGCACCATCAGTCGGCAGGAAACGCAGCACATCACAATCAAGACAGCAAACACCAGCGGGCAGAGTGCCACGCGTGGCATGTGCAGCAAGCACATCCAAGTTGAGCCAAGACAAAATGCCGTATTGCGCACGCACTTGATGGGCTGTTGCAGCTTGAATTGGCTCGTGTCTGCGTCTTGCTCCACAGCTAGGGCGGATCCAAACAGCAGTTGGTGCAGCACATCCGCCACGTCCACATAATCCCGCTGTGGTGTGTTGTATCGTGTTGAGTATGTATGTGTGCGTGTGTGTGTGTGTGTGTGTGTGCGTGTGGAGGTTGTGAGAGGCATGTCCGTGGAGTGGAACTGTGTTTGGTTCCGAGCACGAGTACGCACTGAAACACACACACACACACACACACACCAACACTAACACGTAACACGCTAACACGCGCACACGCACACACACACATGCAAGTCATCATGCGTGCCGATCACCTCAAATGCGCCCGCGGTGCGACCAAGGCTTGCGAGCAGCTGGTGGTCCTCAAACGTCTGCCTGGGCAACTCTTGCATGTCCGCAGCGCGGGCAAAGTTGGTGAGCACAACACCGTAGTGCTTCCAGCCGTTGGCGCCCCGTGCGTTCCAGGGTGCCGTCGCCTCCTGCTCCTCTTCGGCCTCGAGAGCAAAGAGATCGCAGCGGAGGAGAATGTTTTCGGCTGAAGGCGAAACAAGCACACATCCACGCACGTGAGTTGGTTACAAGAGCTTGCCAAGTCGCGTGGGCAACAAGTGGATTGCAGGAGCAATGCTTGCGGAGTGAAACAAACCGAGACAGACAGACAGACAGACAGAGAGACAGACAGAGAAGCAAGCTCTCAGAGCAAACACACGCATGTACATATGCACGCGCGCATGGAGAAACTCGCAAACAGAGAGCAAACACACATATACACACACAAGCACAAGCACACAAACACACACACACATCATGACACAAGACCACCCACGTTGGAAGTTGCCTGCGACAAAGCCGCAGGAGTGCAGCGCCTCCATGGTGCGCAGGAGCTCAATGGCATAGAACATGACAAGCGTCTCGTCACACGCCACGCCCTTGTCTGCGTTGGAGGCAACGAGGTCTGCCAGACTGGCCTTGCTTGAGTAGGTGGAGCACATGACAAGCCCGTTGTTAAACACGTGGAAGGCAACCGGCACGCTCACACTCGCCATGGCACGGGCACGCAGCTGCGCCTGTTCATGCCAACAACAGCAAAAGGAGCAGAGGGTGTGTGCGTGCATGCATGTTTGTGTTTGTGAGTGCGCGTGAGGAATGGAGGCAAAAGACGCCGATGCCACTCGTAGTCAACCTCGAAAAGCCTCTGTCATACAATCAACAAGAACAAACAACCGACACACACACACACACACACACACCTGACACACACAAACACACACACACACACACACACACACACACACACAAACCCGCTGCCCGCTTACGTCTTCGAGCTGCTTCAGACGATCCAGAACAAGCAGCGACATGCGCGCTTCATAGAGATGCTCCACCACCTGTTCAACGGCAGCAGAGAGAAAAATGGGTCATGTGTTTAACTCAGCATCACATTAGAACAAATGAATGCGCATTCCTTGAAGTCATATTGTACATCTGGTCACAACCACGCACACACACACACACACAACATGTATGTGTACTGGTGCGCACCTTGAGCTGGAAGCAACGCAGGTACTCGACGTCTGAGCTGTCATAGTCCTCGATCGCGTACTCAACGGCAAGATACGCACGGGGGTCACTTTGACGCCACACGGACAGGGTGCAGTCAGGAACGATCTTCTGCAGCACTGTGGGAGGGCGCGTCACGGCAGCAGGCAGACATGCGTGTTGTGTCAATGATGAGTAACCGCGACAAGGCGAACCACGAGTGAGACGGGGAGCACAACGGAAGAACACACACACACACACACACGCACACACACACACACACACTCTCTCTCTGTCTCTCTCGCGGAGCACTAATTTGCACTCTAGTTCAATCGCACCTTGACCAGGTTTGAGGGCTGGCACATTTGTTGGCTGCACAACTGTCATGGACGAGGCCTCAATCGCGTCCTGGCACTGAGCGCAGTCGAAACAAACAGTAAAATACACAATAACAAAGTATTGAGCGTGAACGCAGCAGCATGGTGTATGTAGTGCTCACCCGAACCCTTTGATGTATCATTGTTGAAATCAAACTCAACAGGCAAGGCAGGCGCGAAAAAAAAATATATACCAGAAACGATGTGCATGAGCGCGAGAGTGCATGTGCAGGCATGTGTGCACCTTGCTGGCGAGTGCGCGGGCAAGCTCGGTGACCGTGGTGCACTCTGCGGATGGTGTCGTCAGCGTGGACTGTGGACCAGAGCCGGCGGCAGAGGGCGTTCTGCAAATCAGCAGCGAACACACGCGCAGACTTGATGTGAGTTGTTGGATGACAATGAAAACAGTTCAGCCACAACAATGTGCTCACGCATTGTAAACACAGAAGTGACAAAGGCGAACAAACGAGCATTCACGGATACACACACACACACACCTGGAGCTCCTGGTTGACAGGAACGACGCAGAGGAGGAAATCTCATGGCTAGCCTCCAGAATGGGGCTGAGCATGGTTGCACGGTGCGGGTGGTGGTGGTGTTGTTGTGCAAAGCCTGGGCCGTTGCTTGTATGACGCTCGTCCGCATCATGGCTGTCGTTCAGCAGTGACGGCATTTGGCGCTCTCCCAGCGGGCGGCGTTGTGTGTTGGGCTTTGCAGCACCACGATGGTGGTTGTACTCGTCATTGTTCTCGCCATCACCACCATCATCATCATCGTCATCATCACCTTTTCCACCAAAGACGCTCAAGTGTTTGTTGCCGCCAATTTTGTTGCTGCCGAAGCCGTGAATGTCGCCATGATTGCGACCGTTGCCCTGGTCATCGTCCTCATCATCACCATCGTCGTCATCACCCGAGTATGCGCGGGCAGCAGCAAGCTCTTCCGGGCTGCACAGGTCAAAGCCTTTCAGCTCACCGAGCACGCTGCGAGACTGGCCGGTGCGCTGGCATGCCTCTTGTGCAGCACTCATCTTGGGCTGCATTGTGTGTTGTCATCGGTGTTGTTGTGTGGAGGCAGAGGGAACCGAATGCAAAGGAAAGTGTGGAGAGAGCATTGGGTTGTGAGCGCTAGGAAATGAGACCTGGACATCAGTGCGTGGACATGTTCAATGTCATCCCCACTCTGAGTTTGTGCAAACAAGCTCCAACAACTACACACACACACACACACACACACACACACACACACACACACACAACACTCTCACACACACTGACGCACACACCTTCTTTGCTTCGAGGGGAGCACAGTTTTCTTTGTTCTCACTGTCCACGTCTTCTGCTTCATCATCGGCGTGTGCACCTGTACTCGTGTTCACGTCCTGAAACACAGACAGCGGCTGTGATGGGCGAGGCGACACCGCCGAAACACCAGCACTGCCGCTCTCTGTTGTAGGAGAGTTGAGGGCGCCGCCTGTTTCATTGACACACACCAAGAGAGAGAATCGTCCCAGTTGAATGTGAGCGCACGTTGGGCAGTGATTGAAATGCCTGCAGTCGTGGGCAATACAACAGTGCCTTGTAGCAAAGTTGCTCGCATCCAATGCAGTGTCGACACCCACAAACACGCACGCACACTCACCAAACATGGCCATCACGTCAGCCATTGCTGCCTTGGTGTTGATTGTGGGCGATGGCGCCTGGCACGCAAGCAATAGCGCGCGTACATGCAATGATGCGATCGGTGAGCGTGAACATCACAGCGTCCGCAAGCAATGTGACAAGTGAAGGGGTTAAGGCGTGTACAAGTACACTTGAATGCAATGCAACTGCATCTCACCTCGTCACGCTGCTCCTCTTGTTCTTCATGGTCAAGAACACTGAAATGCAGCCGCTTGGTCACCGTGTTCTCCGGCTGTTATGCGCATGTGCGAATATGTGAGAGAGAGAGAGTGTGTGTGTGTGTGCGTGTGTGTGTGTACGTGTGTGTGAGTGTGCGACGTACAGTGGGTCAATTTCAAGCGTGTTCACAACCCGAAAGCCGCACATTTCAGTTCTTTCAGGCGGTAGCAAGCACGAACATCTCACCTCCGACTCCTCGCCGGCATTGGGGAGAGCGCGCAGTGCGCGGCGCTCACGCCTGTTTGCCTCTGGCGCTGTAAATGCGGCATCAGCCTAAACCACACGCAAGGAGCAATCAAAGTCAACAGGTGAAGGCGGCACGTACAGTGCAACCACGATGAAGCGGCGTGCGTGAAGGCGTCTTGCATCCAATCACAATTGTATCCATGAGGCAAGAACGTTCACACCACACATACACCTGTGTCACACACACACACACACACTCATACACACACACCACAAACTCAGAGCAATTCGCATGCAATCATCACCTGACGTGTGTCGTTGGCGCCTTGTGCATTCACCATGGCAGCGGCTGGAGTCCGCGTTGGCAGCATATGCTTGTGTGAATGGTCGCCGCTGTATTGGTGATCCTCGGTGTCGAGGTTCTGGCCATACTCATCACCGCCCATCGACACGTCGAGGTCATTGTCGTAGTCGTGCTGTTGCAACACAAGGGGCGTGTAAGATAAACGCGCGTGCAATTTGAGGGAAGTCACAAAACGATGCGTTCGCGATAATGCAGAGAGTTGGGGCAGCGTGTGATGATCGAACGCGATGGGCACAAACAGCCACCAACGACAGCCTGGCAGACTGACAGACTGAAGGTAGGCAAATAGACACACACACACACATGCACATACGCACACAGATACACACAGATTCACACATGCACACACGCACACAGATACACACAGAGTCACACACACACACACCTCGATTGGAAAGTGGTCTGCCGTGAGATGGTTGGCGGCGAGCCAGTGCGACGCGCGCATCTCTTCAAAGCAGTACTCGGTTGCCGGATCCTCCAGCAGCGGCCGTGGGTCGTACATCAGGTACTGGCCAGGCAGCTGGTGGTGGTGGTGGTGGTGGTGGTGGCGGTATGTGTGTGTGTGTATGTGTGTATGTGTGTGTGTGTGTGCACGCTCGCGCGTGGGAGCGTAGAAGGGATGAGACATAATTCAGAGGAGAATGCAACCGTGAACAGAGACAGAGACGCAAATACTGGCACAAGCTGCAAGGCATAGACACACATACATACACAGGCATCCACAACCACAGGCACACGCAGGCGCGCACACACACACCTCGCGCTCAAGCCCACGCTCGCGTGCATAGTCGTGGAAGATGCGAACGGGCGCGGCCGGCTTCTTGGGCTGCAGCACTTTCTTGCGGGATGCCTTCGGCACTGTAAGGACGCCCGCCAGCCAGGAGGAGTGCAATGAGCAGTGAGCACGAAACACATTTCCACACACACTGACAGAGGCACACGCGCATGGCTACAAGCACAAATGCACACACACGCGCGCGCGCACGCACACGCACACACACGCACACGCACACACACACACAAACGCAGACACACACAAACGCAGACAACACGCACGTTTTGGCGCTGGCGACTTGTCGCCGGTTGTAGCCTTGACATCTTCATCCTCATACACGTCGAGGGGCTCAGCAGTTGCGGCTGCTGTTGGTCGCGTACGCAGCCCACCAGTGCCGTGCCAGCCCGAGGGGTCCTGGTGAATGGGAAGTTGGAAGAGGTGCAAGAAATGGGCGTGACCAAGGTCAGCATGTTTCCAAAACCACACACACACACACACGCGTGCGCGCATTTTCAGACGTACACGCACACATGAGCACAGTAGGAGGTACAGGAGAGCAAGGACTGCGCTGAGCTCCTTACCCGTGAGTTTTCCTTGGCGGTGGCGCTGGCGTCTGGGAAACTGCGAATTTGAGGACGTGAGAGCAGCACGACCGGACGGTGCCTGCTCACAATGCGACATTTTACAAAGAAATGGGGAATGTGAGGCAAGGCATGTGAATACATGTGGCGAGCATTGTTCTGCTGCTCACACTTTTTCAGTTCACATCATCTCATTTCCACACACACACACACACACACACACACACACACACACACACACACACACACACACACGTCTCCCTCCCACCTCCCCCAATCACAGGCATTCACACACACACTCACTCACACAGTCTCCTCCCACCTCACACAATCGCACGCACACGCACGCATACACACACACACACACACACACACCGCTCCTGCGTGTCCTCGGCAGAGTCCTGGTAAATGCTGAGGGCGCCGTTGTTCCCGGATGAGCGCGCACCGAGACCAAGACCCGGTCGGCCGTTGACAACGTTCTTCAGACCACGCCCGCTGTAAACACATGCGATGGAGGCAGGGGGAGGGACGGAGACAGAAAACAGCAGCGCATGTGTGAGAGAGCACAAGAGAGCGATGGAGCCCGCGCATTGCTGCTGTGCATGCAGGAAAAGTCGCCCACACGCACGCTACAACAAGTGCAAACGCAGAATCACATCAGCATTACGAAATAACGGAAACACGGTCACATGCACAGCGTACCCTTGGCGTGCGAACTTTCCACGGTTGACGGGCAGACGGCCACTTCGCGTCTGTGGCAGCTCACCAAAGGTAATGCGCCTGCGGTGCACAACAGCAACCACGCAAACAGATGCAGTGAAAACACGTGACCGTGAGTATACCTGGCTTGCGAGTTCAAGGACAATGCACATCACAACAATTGCACACTGAGACGTCTGCATCCCGGCATGCGCACACTCACTTGTCTTCATCAGCGTTGGCAGCTGGGCTGTCGACGGGAGAGGCTGCCTCTTGCTTTTCACGGTGGTAGGACGCACGCTGCTGCAGTGCTGTGAGCTTTCGCTGCAGAAACGTCTTGGGTTCCGGCTCTGTCATGGTGATGATGCCTCGCTCAAGCTTCTCCACGGCCTCATCGTAGTTCTTGATGCTCTCGTACATCACCGACCACGTCTGTGTGTGTGTGTGTGCGTTGGTGTGTGTGTGTGTATGTGAATGTGCAAGTGACGGCAGTGTGTGTGTGTGTGTGGAGAAGAAGCAAGTGAATACGTATGTACATGTGTGAATGCGAGTACTTCACATGCTTGCGATTCCGAAAACAATGCCTGTGTGAAACAATTTGGCATGCAGAGTTTCGTGCGCACCACTCCTCACCAGCCAGAAGAGAGGCGTTTGGATGCCAATGCGGCGATCAAACAGGAAGGTGAAGATCTGAAACGGTTCGTCGCAGCGGTCCGCCTGAACATGCACGAGACACGACGGCAATTCAGGATTGAGATGCGGTGTAGAAATACACGAGCACGTGCACTTGCCTTTATTCAACGGACGCAGGCATTCTCATACACACACATGCCCGTACGCACACAGACATGTGCGCACATGTACAAGGTACAATGGCTCATGGGCACGTACGTATTTGAGGCAAATCTTGAGAAAGCGCTCATCGTTCCTGACGGTTTCATCGCGCTCAAAACGCTTGATGCAGCGCTCCAGGAGGCGAGCAACGTCAATCTGCAATAATTATGTTCGCAGAGAGCACAGATGAAAGGAGGGTTACTGCTCGCCCCAGTGCAATAACAAGCTTCAAGCGCGGGCATGCTTAGATTAGAGCACGGGCAGCACGATACGCACAAACGACAACCACGCAGGCGACACTGTTGCACGAACGCAAGCCAGCTTCTCCGCCCGTATTGCAGCTGCTCCGAGAGAGCACACACCTGATAGTCGGCGCTGTTCTCGCGCTCTTCTGCCCAAGCAATGTATCTGTGAAATGATTGGACAAGAGAACGTAATCACATGGGAAAACGAGTGTGAGAAGAATACGAAGCTGTGAGGCAGTGGGTTGTTTGACAGCAGACAAACATCATGCGCGACAACACACTGCTCGTCTCACCGCTTCCAGATGTCGAGAGGGTCGCTGCCGCCGCTCGTGAACACAGCCTCTTCAAAGGCACTGTCAACATGGTGTTCAGATTGTGCATGGGTTTTAAGGGGGTGTGGCGGGGGTTGGTGTGTGTGTGTGTGCGTGTGTGTGTGTGTGTGCGTGTGTGTGTGTGTGTGTGTGTGCGTGCGTGCGTGCGTGTGTGTGTGTGTGTGTGCAAGATAGCGCTTCTCACATCATATGCACGAGTAGATTTGCTGACGAGCACCGTCCACACCACCACATGTTCACGCACACGCATACGAGCATGCCTTACCGTTCCTGTTCTGCGAGCCTCTCGAATGGTGTTGCCACGGCTGCGTTCATGACGGATTCTGCGCTGTAGCCCTGGCGGCGTGGTTTGAAGTTCTCCTTGCAGGTTTCCCAATCCTGGGGAATATGTTGCTGCTGCTGCTGCTGGTGATCAGCCATGACGACAAGCCTGGCGTCGATTGGCTTGCTGTTGTCCTGACTGTCTTCACTGACGTGTGTGTGTGTGTGTGTGTGTGTGTGTGTGTGTGTGTGTGTGTGTGTGTGTGTGTGTGTGTGTGTGTGTGTGTGTGTGTGTGTGTGTGTGTGTGTGTGTGTGTGTGTGTGTGCAGAGGAGAGCAACGCCTGGATGGGCTGTGGGTGGGTGGTTGCTGTCGTTGTGTGATTTGAATTTTGAGCGGCGGTGGCTGTCAAATTTGACATACAAGAATAATTGTTAATATTTTTGTCGGATTTTCGCAACTTGAGGCAAAGCTGTGGCCTGCGAACGCGACAGACGAACAAGACGAAGACAACGAGAGTCGCTGCACCCACCACATTTCCTGCTGAGCTGAGCCAGTGACGATCACGGACAACCAAGGGAAGGCACACGAGCAAAGCGAGACAAGGACGGAGCAAGGACGGAGCAAGGACGGAGCAAGGATGGCGCAAAACCTCAACCCGGACCAGGTACGCATAGGGGAGCGAGTGTATGTATGTGCATGTGTGTATGTGCATGTGTGAGTGCATGTACGTGTGCGTGCCCGTGTGTGTGCATGTGTGAGTGCATGTACGTGTGCGTGCGTATGTGTGCATGTGTGCATGTGTGTGATTCTGGAAGACATGGTGTCGCTAATCACATGTCGTTGCGTGCCTTGCTTTTCCTTGTTGGCCCTTGTGTCTAGATCCGGGCGCTCATCGAGCAGAAGAAGCGCGAGATTGAGCAGCGCAAACAAATGGTGTGTGTGTGTTTGAGTGTGTGTGTTTGATTGTGACATGCCTTTGTTGGCGTCGTCGTCACTGTCGTCGTTGTCGTCACTGTCGTCGTTGTCATCACTGTCGTCGTCGTCGTCACTGTTGTTGACGACGTCGTCGTTGTTGTTACCGTCGTGGTCATTGTTGGTGTCGTCGTCGTTGTTGTCGCTTTGCTGACCACACTGTCGTGATGTCATGTTGCCATTGCATCCGTCAGGTGGCTGGCGTAGCCACGCCGACCCCGGCAGGGATGCAGGCTGGCGCCCGCACACCTTTGCCTGGTGGCGCACAGACTCCTCTGCCTACAGGTGCACACACGCCCATGCCCGCTGGGCTGCGCACGCCCATGCCACATGGCGTTGCAACTCCACTGCCGGGCGGCATCACCACGCCAGCGCCCCACGGCATGCCAGGAGGTGTCACAACTCCTCTCCCAGGTCAGCAAAGAGAGAGAGATGCGTGTATGTTTTCGTGCATGTGTGTGTGAGTGTGTGTGTGAGTGTGTGTGTGTGTGCGAGCTTGGCTGTTCGTTGTTGACCTGATCTCCGTCCTAGACATGTCATCCTCAACTCATGTGTGCGCATACGTGCCTGACACGTACGCTTCCCGGCCCTCCCATGTGTTTTCCCGTCGAAACAACAGCTGGCGTACAAACACCAAAGCCATTGCTGCCGCTTCCAAATGGCCAGCTCGGCGACCTGCAAGCAAAGGTGAAGGAGCAGCTTGCAAGTCTGCAGAAGCGCGCAGCAGACGAAGG